ATGCATCAACTAATTTAAAATGACAACAAAAATACATACAACACCATTAGAGAGATCATGAAATTCAAAAGCAGAACACAATAGTCTTAAAAGACATGGGACAAAGACGTTCGTAAATCAGTCACCGGGAATTCTTGCTAAAGTTTTTTTATATCAGCCTTCCAACAAGGCTGGAATTTTTAAAAATTACAAAGTGTATGTCATGTTTGATCTAATTCCAAGGCCAAAGACCCTTGATTATATAAATGCATAAAGCATAAGGAGGAAGAAATGAAAAACAACACTTGGAGACAACATAGAGAACAATAATGTACCTGCTGATGCCGGTGCTGCATCTATAGAGGATTCCTACCTCTCCTTGCTCCGACATACTGTCCGATTTGTCCTTTTTGCTTATTCAAGTTGCTAAATATCTCCCTATTCCACTCTTTTACCTTCTCCTTGATTAATTTCAACTTCCTCAAAACAACTATAAATAAATATTATAAAATGGGTCCATTCACATGGTTTTCTTTGTTGCAAACTTGCAATACTAACAATTCAAGCTCAAAGCTGCATATGTTTCCAATTTTGAGTGATCATCTACATCTTCTAAAAATTTCTACTCCATCCAGTATTTTACATGAAGATGTAAGGGCAATAATCTCATTGATTTTTCTTTTTCTTTTCCCCAAGGTCCCCTTGATGAAGAAAACATGATAGCTTTCTAAAGTAATTTCATATACATTTACAATAATATAGTGGTGAGGCAGTGCAGCACGCACATGATCCATAAGGCATAGTAACAGGACTTTAATTCAAACATTTGGCATCCACATCCTGTACACCAAATAACAAGGTTCAGAAGACAAGGCAGGGACATGATACACGTGAAGCAATGCAGCATGTATGTAGCCCAGAATCCATGCTGAGAAAACGTCAAATTCAATTTTTAGCATCATGTAAACCAAAACAAAATAGATCAAGAGTCAAAAAATAGAGGTGGATTCCCATACTTGGTAAGTTTAAGAGTGAGAACTAATAAAACAAGAAGAAGAAAATAAAATAAAAAATAAAAACTCATAAAAGTTGTAACTAATACAACAATAGCTAAGTAATTGAGCACTGATGAGAATGCTTTCTACTATAACAAATGCATTATTTGCTAGCACCAGATACAACACATAATGATGAAAAAAATCATAACCACAAGACAACTTTCCTGAATCCTAAAATAACTAGAAGTATCTCAAGGAAAATAACCTTTCAATGTGTTTCATTAATCAAAACATAGTTAGGGTATATCCATCCCTTAACTCATTGACCTGGTTCCCAGTTTGCTCAAAAGCTCATGCAAAGGAAGACAAAGAATACATACATGCAAGCTCATGATGCATTTGTTTGCAGGCAATCATGTAGTTGACTACAAGACTAACAATTGGAAAAGAACATTACACAAAATCATGTAAACAAAAAATGGCTAGAACCCAACATAGTCTCATCTCTCTCTCTCTCTCTATATATATATATATGTATATGTATGTAAGAATGTTTTTGCATTTTGGGTTTAATTGGGTTTGTTGTTGTTTGCTCATCTGATATGTTTTTGGGATTCTTGTAGGATGATTCAACACCAAGTCGCCAAAAGAAGGATGCTGAAGCTAATTGGAAATCTCAGGTAATTTCAATCTGCATTTTTTAGGGTTTTGATCCTTTTTTTTTTTTTTTTTTTTTTGTATTTTTCCCCCCTGTTTGTGGGCTATAATTAATTTTCTGTTTATGCTCAAATTTTGGAATCTTGTGGAAAAAAAACTCAAAAGTTGTAAATGCCTGGCTTTGAGGTGGCGAAAAATACGGATAATTTGATATGTTTTGGGGCATAAAACCTTAAGATTGTTAGGATAAAAATGAACTCACTGTTTTGTTACTTCATAGTTTATGAGTCTAGTATGTGGAATAATTAATCGTCTTGCTCCTTATGCACACCCAATTTTCTATCACATAATGCTGTTTTTTCCAAGTAAAATAAATGTAACTAATAACAATTTGTTTGCTATTCAACCTCTTGTATTTTGTCATGTTGTCCTCAGAAGGTGTGACAATTTAGAACAAAGAGTTGCAATGAACACTTGACTTCATCTTATCAACTTGCTCCCTTACACCCCCCCTCCCTCCCTTTTGTTTTTTTCTTTTCCCTATCCATTGTTGTCAAATTGTGAATCGTTTTATTAAAATAATGAATCATAAATTGTAAGATTCATTTTATTTTTATATCTATATACATATAAAAATACACACAGAGTGTATAAAATGAAGTAAATATTAATTAACTAAATCTTATATATGTATATGCATATAAAATCATGCATACCAATATAACTAATTAATACCTTATATATATCTTGATAATTTGGCAAAAATAAGGTCATTTCATGCATTTTGTAAATAAAAACAAAAATAGAATTGAACCACAGTGATTTGCAAATTGAATCACATAATTCACTCAATTTCCTATTCAACAAAACAATTCGATTTTTTTTTTTTTTTTTGTGTTAAAACTTGTATTGAATCGTATGGATCGAGTTGTTAATCGTGCGATTCTAACAATCATGCCCCCATCTATTAAGCTAAACTAATTTCTTAAAGACATTTGGATGCATCATAAGAGAGACAACGGGAAAAGCATTGGAACTAGTGAATTATTGCCATTTTTCGGTAGGTCTGATGATTTGTGGGGTAATGTTGGGAGAATTCTGTTAGTTTAGATGGTGCAAGGTGTTGTCAGAAAGCAACTTCTGCTATATTGATGATAATCTTAGTGATTAGGCGTTTCATAGCCTTTTTCCGTACATGCAATGCTAATATTTGTTGGTTGCAGTGGAGAGCAACCTAAGAAGCACCGACATGGGCACGTAAATTTTCAAAAAATGCAGGAGACGACACGTTGGAGACACGTGCAAAACATAATTTTGGGTAATTTAGTTAAAAGTTCCTTGTAAGGGGTGTATATTGCTTGAAGTCCAACATAAATTTTCTTTATCCATGAACTCCCTCATTTTGTTTGACTGGGGCAGCATTTATTTTTGGGGCGTTTACCAATTAGTCATATTAACTATATTGATTTACCTACAGGTCCTGACTGATAAATTTTTCATTATAAATTTATTTATAAAAACAAGAGAGATTGATAAATTTGTCAAATGATAAATATATCAATAGGACTTAATGAGTAAATAAGTTTAAAAAATAGGACCTATTAGTAATTTACCCTTGATTTTTATGGACATTTAATTAAGAAACAATAGAAACATTCTGTCTCCATTGTCCACCCACAATCACAACAACCCAATTCAGTTCTAAAATTCCACAACTGCAATCTCTCTCTCTACTGTATACCTCTGTGTGGAGTAGTTGTTGGAGCTTTGGAATGGGAAGTTTTGAGAAGTAGGTGAAGGAGAGAGCGAAGGACCTCAAGAGCTTCTTCAGTAAGGGAGTCAAAATCGTTAGTGACTCTTGTAAGAAGGGCTAGCACAAGATCAAGCCCCTTAGACGCTGATCTCTCTCCAAGAAGGGATTCTTTTTTGCGTAATACAAATATTTCATTCTAGGTTTTGATTTTGAACCCATTGGGGTCGTGATTGTTTTTTTTTTTACTTATTTTGTTTTCTTGCAGATGTCTTGTTCAAGAATGACAGTAAAGTTTTACCCTAGTAGTATATTCTTGAGTTACTGTGGTAGTGATAGTAAAATTTTACTGTGAATCAGAGTAACATTTTACTATGAAACGTAATAAACTTTTACTGTTTACGTCAGTTTTGACGATATTTTTTTATTGTAAATAATTTCATAGTTAATCTGGATCTTGTTTGATAGATCTTGATGAGAGGATTCTGAAAATATTAATTTTATTAAAAATCGACATCTAGATCAAAAGTTATAGCATTTTAAAGTTTAAAATTTTAAATTAGTCACTTAGGATATTTTGGTAATAGTGGTGTGTGTTGAACTTTTCAAATGTAGTAAATACAATGCACATTTAAAAAAATAAATATTTACAATAAAAAAAATTATCTTTAAAAAAATAAAATTAAGAAAAATTTTAAATATTTAAAAAAAATAATCTAAAAAATTTCAAAATACAACTCAATTTTTTTTAAAACTATAATCAAATAAATTTTCTATATTCAAAACTAAATTCAAAATTTATGACTCAAAGTATAACTTCACATTCAAATTATGATGTTAAAGCAAAACTAAACAAAATTGTTGTACTTAGGGCATCTCCAACAGTTTACCATTTTTTAAAATCAGATCTGAGTTAAAAAAAGACGAGTTTCTCAATCTGATATCAGCCACTCCAGCGATGAATTGTAGCTTTCATCAAAATGCAGTGGACGTCTGGGGGGACAACCAGCCGGTTGATCGGACAGGGAAAATGAATTTTTTCTCTCCATTTCTATTTCCCAATTCGTTTCCCATTTCTTTTTCCCTCCATTAAATCTTTTCCATTTTTTTGCCTCCAATAATGATTTCCTTCCAAAAACTGATATAAACACATTAACCCATGTACCATATAAACCAGAAAAGATGTATGTTATATCAGGAACCAACCATAACTAAAAGCAGCGCATAATGAGTACCTCAAATTCTTACGTGTTCACTTCATTTTCATCCTCCTTTTCTTCCTCATCCTCTGATGAAGAGTCTGATGA